ACGCTCATCACAAACGTTCATCGTCTAACATTCAGTTTTTCAATTTGAAACACTCAAACATGGTTAAAAATAACAATAATTTGAATATCTTAGTGATTTTTGTTATCATTTGAATGTTAATTTTACTAAAATCACAAGGATAAAAATCCACAAAGGAGCTCAAACGAGTTTTTCATTTTTTTATTTTTTTTACACTCGGCAAAAAAATAAAACATAAAAAGGAAACTCCAACATGTTAAACAATTATAGGGGTCATATAAATTGGTTGTTTTCCATCAATTAGTTGAAGATTTTGGTAGAACTTCGATTCGAACAAAGTGTAAAACATTTTTAATAAAAAATGTGTTATTTGTTAAATTATGAAACCCTGATATTAAGTATATTTTGCTCACTTTTTGGAACAGAGAAATAACTAAAAAGACAAAAGGATAATTTATGATTCGAATTTTGACCAATAAAACAAGAAAAAACCAACAATTCATTTTGAAGTTTATTGTAGTAAAATATAAAATGCGAAAAAAACAGTTAATTGAAATGACCCGTCATGTTTTGACGGGTTTAGTTATTATTTTTATCCATTTTTTAGTTTTGAAAGGTAAAAAACGACTCTTAATTTTGGATTTTAACATGAATGTTCATGATGTATTTCTGATCTACGACAATAAAAACAATAATTGTAAAATATCGCTTTATCACATTAACATGGTGCTCAATTTTAAACTAATGATTTTCAAAGTTAATTTATAAATGATCAAACTGGGTTTGGCTAGAAACGAAAAACGACTTCTTGTTAAAATAAATAATAATAGACAAATCAAAATATTGGATATTGAAAACATAACAGTTAATTAGGCAATTATATTTGCATGCTCAATTCTTTTACTCATTGCCATACTGAGCAGTTATAACCATTAAAAAACGAATGATTAAAAAGTTAAATTTGACAATTTTTATTTTTAAAAATAATAATTTGATTATAGTTTGATAATAATTAATTTTTACTATTATTTGAATAAATAACTGGATAAAAACTATATTCTTGATAATTTCAGACAATCAACAATAGATATACATATTGCCCAAATGAGTTATGTAACTTTTATGTGGAATAATCATATCTTTAATGTTATATGAATACAAATTGATAAATTAATTTCACGCCAAAAACGTCTAGAACGTTTTTTAATGGTATTGATCACTTTAAAATGGCAGATAAACACGTTATTGACATGATTTGGACATTGTATCGTGTAATGAGTCTAAACTATTCATTTTTGTTGTTCATAACAAACAAAACAAAAATAATAAAGCATATATAAATATACTAGTTAATATAATTTATTTGTAGTTTTCGACCATGCATATTGTTTAAAAACAAATAATAATAATAAAATAATATAATCATATTTGAATAAAATAACCATTAAATAATTATAATAATATAATAAAAATATATTCTATGTTTAAGTTTAAACAATCTTACAAAATATAACACAGTTAATGAGTGAGAAGAAGCCTTATAAGTATGTTGAAAAAAAGAAGGAAAGGGAATTCCAGCGATTGCATGTGACCACACCCGTCTGCTTTCTCGCCTTACGTTGTATCCAGAGTATTTAGAACTCTTCAGAAAATGCGAGGCAGAAGTAAATTGTTGTAACAGTTATTTCGACCAAATTAAACTTGTCATTGAAAGTCTGGGAGATGTTTCTTGGCGTCGGGGCTGGAGAGAGGATATAAATGAGTTCTTTGGAGGTGTCAGGAGCGTGGAAAAACAAATTCGAAAGGTCGAGAACAAGAAAGGAGGAGGACTCGTTGGACGCCCAAGTCTTTTGAAAAAGGAACAGAAAGAAGAAGTCCAAAAGTTTATAGAAACTTTTCAAAAGGCGAAACAGCCAGTGGAACCTCGAGATGTTAGAGATTTTGTCAACCTGAAGCTTATTAAAGAGGGTGAGAAATCGCTAACAACAAAGCAGATGTATGAAATTGTCAAGAAAATTCCAGAGCTTGGTGTCAAAAGGGGAGAGTTGATGGAGACACCCAGAGCAATTGTGTCAAAAGAACTCATCATAGAATACCTCGATGAGCTGAAAAAAGCAGTGGATGGGAAGCCAGCGGCGTTGGTTTATAACTTATACGAGGTCGGGTTCGATCTTTTTGTTGATGCTCTTTCAAAGTCGGTATGTTTTTCTCATGCTTTCGGCGAGACAGTTTACACTCCAGTCGCTGGTCGTGGAGACAGGATAACCCTTTTGGGTTGTATTCGAGCAGATGGGCACGCACTTGACCCCCTCATAATCACCAGCCGAGTGACTCTGGACCAAGATGTACTTGCCATTTTGTCAACTCATGCCATAATAAAGACCCAGCCGAAGGGATTTATGAATTCCTTATTGTTTCAAGAATGGGTCGAGCGTGTTCTTGTTGTTGATGTCAAGGCGTCTCAAAAGGCTCTCCACACCAAAGCGCGAGCTGTCCTCATTATGGACGGTTTTAAAGCCCATGACGCTGCAATTGAAATACTGAAGAAGAACGGCATCGATGTGTTGTACCTAAAACCACACACGTCGCATCTATGCCAACCACTGGATTTGTGTGTTTTTTCTGCCGTCAAGTCTCATTTGTCTAAAAATGAACTCCTCAAAATGGAATTTGAAAACTACATGAAAGAAAGTGGAAAACCAACAAACGAGTTGTTCGATGATCTTTTGAAAGTGAAGATTGAGTTTGCAGAATCGACAGTGGAAAAAAGAATCCTCTCAATCTACGATTCGTGGAAGGCAAAAGACCGTCTTGAAATAATAGTCAGTGCCTTCAAGCAATCAGGAATAGCTTTACAGTCTGCTATTTGTGACCGCAAAGTTGAAGACACGTCCGAGTCATCGAGAACATATAAAGTCTGCAAAGTCGACGTTGCTTACTCAAGATGTATGAGACTTTTTTTATATGGAGATGAAATGGCAGAAATTCCGGCTCCAAAAATACAGAAAAAATTGAAGTTAGAAACTGAAAAAGAAAGAAAAGCGAGGTTGGAAAAGCGAAAGAAATAATTAAAGAACTTGTTTCTTTTTATCAATAATTCATGTTTCTAAACAAAATAACTAATTTTTAATATAACAATTAATAATATATTACAGTCATGCGAAAAAGCTGTCGCGTTTGGAAAAACCTGTTTCGGGTGGTAATGAACTATTCTAGTACTATAAACAAATGATCTGAAATAGAAAATGTTATTTGGAAATGCCGAATATTTTTATTCGATT